GCCACATACAAAATTACCTTTAAATGGTAGGAAACCTGAAAATAACAGTTTAATAAGACAAAAAAACACCAAAGAGATAATGATAAACCATAAAATAACAAGGGTGGCTGAGGATGGAGAAGATTAACACGGATTACAAACGACGAATTTGAAAAATTGAGGCCAAACTTTTCAATATGCGCAAATTTGTGACTGAGCTCCTTTAACTTTGGCGAATTAAGGTATTATCCAACGCACGTCATAATCGACCGTCAAATAGCATGATTGTGTGAAATTGATCAGATGGCGGAATTTAATATTGTATTCACTTTAAATTAGCCACCATTTTAATTTAGTGACACTATTTTGGTGCATTTTAATTTAGCGATTTTCAAAAATATCGCTAACTTCGCTGAATTAAAGTGTCATCAAAATTTCCTGTAACAAGTTACTTCATTTAAATTAACAAATAATTTTTGAAGAAAATCAAAATCGTTGGGCAAATTATTTGAAGATTGGAAGGGCAGATTTTTTTTACTTCAAGAGTACAAAAAGAGCTCAGAGTTGTTTCCAAAATAAAATGACCGGTGATTGTTGCGTTTTTAAATTTCTACGGCGTAGTGTGGATAGGGCCTGCAGAGAATTGCGCGCCTTGAATGACTATTAATAACATTTTCATTTGATTTTTTTTGTCCAAAAGACAAACGATCCACCAAAGCTCTAAGGTTCCAAGAATATTTTACTGAAACAAACATCGTTTAGGGCCAACACAGTCGCAACAAATGAAACTTCCCTGGGCAGCTCCCATGTAAATGAGTGAATGATGTTAATTGAAAAATGGATGTTTAAATTTTTTGTGCACCCTAAATAAAGTCGATGTTTTCAAATTCCGAAAAGCCCCGTTTTCATGACGGATTAGTGTGGACGGTACTGAGGCCTAACCGAAGAAACAAAGTTGCGTTTTTAAGTTTCTCCGGCGTAGTTCAAGCATGGACGGGGCCTCAAAAGGGATTGAGTGGCCAACGTTTGTAAACTGCTGTGTTCATAGGGATACGTTCTTGAGTAAAGCACGTAACTCTCACAGTGCACCTCTGTTCTTTCTACATGGCAGTCCCCCCAGGTCTAGAACCTAGTCGGCGAGCAAGCTCTCTTGGCAGCTCATAGAGTAGGGGTGGGGATGACACTACAATAGCTGAAAAGACAACTTGCCAGCATGCAATCTAGAACACAGTTTCAGGCCATCAGGACTGTCTTCTTGTTAAATTGTGCCTGGGACCTCCAGGAATGACAACATTTCACTTTTTGTACAAGAAAAATTACCTCCCTTTTTCTTCTCCCCTACCCTCCCCCTTCTCAAATAAAAAAAAGACGGGGGTGCTTGCCCGAAATTTTGAAAAGAATCCCTAAGAGGTACCAAGATTCTTCTTTTGTGGGCGTGGCTTGAAATGTTTTTCACCCTTAAGGTACTAACTCTAAAATAACACATAAATTGACATTGACTTTTTTCAGATTCTGAACCAGTCCTGAAAACATTAACACTTCTGCAAGTACCTAGAAAAAAATAATGGAAACTGGCAATGAATCAGTAACATTTGTTTGCTTGTTTTATTTTCTTGCTATTTATAAATATATTTACAAAATATCCAATATGTATAAGGTAAGGAAGTTGTCAGTGTAAAACACAGACTGCAGACTGCAGGCCAGGGGTAAAGTGCAGACTGAGGGTAAAATGCAGACTACAGACTAGGTGTAACATGCAGGCTACAGCCTAGACAGACTTTTATAAGTACACTGAGATCATACTATTCCATTATCAAGTGCAGGAGCCCATGCCATGGGCTTCTGTCAAGTGCTATACATAAACACACTTACCTGGGTGTTATTCAGGCTAATCAAAGTGGAAGCCTACAGTCAGGTTAGCCTGAATATCACTCAGGCCATTAGCCTCAATAACGCCCCTGTTAACCTGTTTATGGTGAGCTCTCAGTAATGGAAATGGTATCACAATACACTTGAAGTTTGCAGTCTGCATTTTACCCTCAGTCTGCATTTTACCCTCAGTCTGCAGTCAGCTTTTTTTATTCTCAGTTTTCATTCTTTAGGTCAAGAGTACAAATCCCTACTCTTTTGATGAATAACTATCCCCAAAACAACAACATTTTCTAAAACAACATTTTGTGATTATATATATTTGGGCTAGGAGACTGAATCTTGGTGCTGTTTATTTATTTTTAGCACAGTGACCTGTACTCTTGATCTGTGGAATGTGACCTGTATTTAATTTAGACCCGTCAGTCTGCAGTCTGCGTTTTACACTGACCACTACAAAACACAAAATTATTCACATCCTTGGTAACACTGTTGCAAGGTTCGCTCCTTGAAAACAAGCTATAAGCAGTACTCGAAGGGCTCTCTGTCCGTGACTGGAGGAGGCATAGCAGGTTGGCCTTGTGCTGGAGGAGGAGGATACTGGACTAGTTGCCGAGGATAATCTGGATTATACGGCGGTGGGGCCTGATCATACCCTGACGTTGAAGGCTGGTTGTAATTTGGCGGTGGAGGCCGTTGTGGAGGATGCCGGTTGTAATTTTCCGGTGGAGGCTGGTTGTAATTTGTCCCTTGTACTTGTTGGGCGGTCATGGCCATATGGGTGGTCGACACGTACGGTTGGTGAGTCGCTGATTGAGACGTGACGACAGTCCCAGGGGAACGATAGCGGTAGAACGGGCAACATGCACAACAACAGCAAGCCACGATGGAAATAATGATCGCGAAGAACACAATCGTACCGACTACAACGCCGGCAATGCTAGCTTCAGTCCAAGTCCGACAGTCCGACGAACAATCTCCGCCATCACAGCACTCTTCCTCCGTGCCACAGTCGGAATCGAAGGAGCAGTAAAAACAGGTTTTTCTGCACACACTATCCGAACAGCAGGACTGGTCGTCAAGACATTCACCGTCATTACTACAAATTGTAGCACTTCCCAAGGCAGAGAAACAGAGGATAACAACAACGTAAATTGCTCGTACGCGTTCGAGCGCCATTAATTGCTGACTAAGTTTATACGCACTCGACTCACTCTATTAAACCCACGCACTATAGGGGGGAGGGGAGTCGAGTAGGACGGT